TTCGCATTGCATATCGAGTACCTTCTCTTTTACGAATAAAATTGTGGAGTATACAACACGCCTTTACGATATTATTGACTTTATCAACATCTCGGCAACGAATGGCGGTACTCAGCACTTGAAATTTTTCCGTCATCATTCCAAATGTGCACTCAATAGTTTTTCTTCCTCGGCTCAATCGGTAGTTAAATACTCTTCTAATGTTGTCTAGAGTCCGTCTGGGGTAGGGTCTCATTAGAAATTTTGATAATGGAAACGCCTCGTCTGCTACAAAATAGTAAGGAAATTTACAGTTGTTAGTATCATAAGGTAGCTTTGAAGGTGGTGGAATATCAAGTTGTGAGTGAGTTATATGATATTTCATTGCTGAAGCCCGAAATATTCCACCGTCACTGTTCCTACCGGCATATCCGGTTTCGACCATTGTAAAAAGTCCATCAGCATCACAACACCCCAATAATACTATGGAATGGTAGGCTTTATAATTGAAATTACTGGAACCTGTATTCGGTAATTTCTCTATACGAATATGTTTTCCATCTATACTGCCTATACAGTTAGGGAGATTCCACAATAATTCATAACGTTCTGCAATATTTTTCCATTGATCCTTATTCGGTTTCGACATCCAATATCCATTCATCACATCCCATATTATCTGAGTCGTCTCTGCCACGATCTGCCCAACTGTTGTCTCTCCTCGGCAAAAGTACAACCCAAGCGAGACAAATGTACTCCCTGTTGCCAAATATCTGTAAAATATAAATGTAAATGTATCATCGTTTTTTGTTTTTTTTTTTTTTTTCAAAACAAAAATAATATCTACCACCTTTAAGTAGATGCTTAATATGAATGTTTTAGTGAATGAATGCAAAGAAAAATGGAGGAATCTAAGGACTATGTTTGTGAGAAGAATGAAAKACTCTAAAAGTGGATCCAAAGCCAAAAAACCGTATTATTTGAACGAGGCAATGCAGTTCACGATACCATTTGTCAAAACCTCTGCAATACCTAGTGGAAATTTGTCACCTATTCCTAATGAAGATTTTGAGACTCCCGATGTGTGGGAAAACTCAGACATATCGGAATATCCTGAACCAAACCAGCAGGACAGCAATCCAGTCTCATCACCAGATATGCTTCTACCACTTTCTCCTAATCCCTCTACTCTGAATAGCACCACACCACTAATTACGAGACAATCTGAAACTGAGCGCGTTAACACTCCAGAATCGACATTTTTGAAGTCCAAATATACTACAAGTAAAAAAGTTAAGAAAAATAACTCTAGTTCTACTGATGCTGACAAAGCGTTTGCTGAATATTTTGAAACCAAGAAAGCCAAATTGGCCGCTAGTACTTCTGATGCCAGAACAGATTCAGTGAAACAATTTTTGAATAGTCTTATACCAGATCTTTTAACAATGTCAGATGTACAACTGAGAACTTATAAGCGTAGATTTATTGAACTTATAGACGCAATACTTTGTCCTCCCCCAGTGAACAGTCATTCTTCAGTTGGTACCTATTTATCTTCGTTTACATCAGATGAAAGCTCAGAAAATTCAAATTACACAGTCTTGTAATGATTAATTTTATAAATAGTATATTTAATAAGAAGGATTTGTTTTTTTTATGATTTATTTTATAAACACTTATGTTAAATAAAAAGGATTTGTTTTTTTTTATGATTTATTTTATAAACAATTATGCTAAATAAGAAGGATTTGTTTTTTTTATGATTTATTTTATAAACAATTATGCTAAATAAGAAGGATTTGTTTTGTTTATGATTTGCTATATTAAACTATATTAAAAAGACGGATTTTTTTTTTTTATGGCAGTAATATTCATTTAATGTGAAGTATTTAGTGTTCAGAAAAGGTCGCTAAGCTAAAAGTTGTCTAAGAAGTTTATAATAATTGGTWAGGCCTTAAATGTATATAATGATATATTACATGGTAAGGTAATAAACAAATTTGAATTAATTTCTTTGAATAATATAATACTTTATTATTATCGAGCCTCACTTGATCACATACGTTGATAATAAGATAACATATGTTTATAATGTTTATATTCTTGTGTTCTATACAGCATAACATTTTGACAATATTTTGACTCGTTTTGGGC